AAAAGTAGGAAAATAAGCGCATGACAGAAACGGAAACACCTATCCTGCCGCGCTAAGGAAGAACGCCGTATGATGCTCACGTCATAATGCACATAGTTTCGTTTGACAGAAATACGTCCAATTCGACGTCACTTATCCGTAAACACAGCTAATGAAGTGTTGAGAGAGAATATTATAAATGGATGATACGTGAATAAGTGTTACTGCACGAATTTTTGGTTTGTGGCGTTTCGCACTTTTATTGCAAATTTGATAGAGAAGACTAAAAAAAAAAAAAAAAAAAAAAAAAAAAAAAAAAAAAAAAATCGTTCAAACACCCCCCAATAAAAATTAAACGACACTAATATCTCAAAAGGAATGCCCTCCCAATTTCAGTGTCTCTAGAGGACGAATCCCGAAGACGCTAAACGCAATCTATTCTATCACCTTTCTGTCGTTTATTTTTCTAACCGTTCGTTAAACTCACCAGGAAACACCTTGGCATGGTTCGTCAAATACCAGACGAAGGTACGCGATTCCATTCCAATATTGGAAAGTTGACTCAAAAAATTCATTTTTTTACATGAATACAGATGTGCAATTTTTGTCCAAATTTTTCCTGATCGTTGCATGAGATCGGAAGTAAAAGATTGAAACTTTCCATTCGGAAAGTCCAATAATCGCCCGGTAAAAATGCAATTTGCATGGGGAAATTTGGCAACATTGTAATTACGTTCTCTTGCAAAGGAGACGACGAGTCCTCTTCTATATGAGAAGTCGAGGGTAACTTTACAAATAATTCAATCCTGCGGGCTGATTGTTGACATTAGTAGGCAAAACAATAGACAAATAAGACATAGGCAGTATATGCGATCCTATTGGTTGAAATGGGTGGTTCTTATGAACTAGGGGGTAAATAAAGGACTAATTATAGGGTATCTCTTGGGTTGCCCTGAGTTGGTCTATAGTACCTACCTTCTTTGTCCATTGCAACCACCCGCTTCCACCAATAGGATCCATCCATATACCTTTCCTTTTCTTTGTCTATAGTTTGGTCTATCAATTTCAAGAATCAGCCCGCAGTAAGTGCTTCCTCACAAAAATGATCAACAAACTTGCATGCCCCTCTTCTAGGCAAAAACCCAGTGCTGCCAATGTATTAAACCAAAGATTTCGGGGTTCCCGGAATCAAATCCGATTTAACAAAGTTCGGAGAAAAATTCCGTTTTTTTCCAAAAGCTCCGGAGGAGCTCCCGAAATATGCCCGGATTTAGCTCCAAAGATCGTCAAATTTTATGATATATTGTTGATCAAATTTGATAATAAGCAAAACAATCGGTCGAACCGACAGAGAATCCAAAAATTGCGGGAAAAGTTCCGAAATTCGGAATTAATCCCGGGAAATGGCAGCACTGCAAAAACCCTGCCTCAACGCGACTCGAAAAATTTCAAGATGGAAAATGGACGAAATTCTCATTTTTTGGGGTTACTGTGCCGGATGCAGATGCCGGAGAGTTCCGGAACCAAGTGGCAGCGTGTCACCATGTTGGCGGTTTGTTTATGTGGGTATAGCGTCGCCTCTCTGACGTAAGGGGGTATCTCAATTGCTGCGTGAGCCCTGTTTTACATATAAATCCATGCTCTCTGAGGCTCATGCGCAAATCCGGATAAGCCCTCTGGCCTGAGGAGCCACGAAAAGGCTGCTTCCGAAGAAGTGAGCCCCAGGTCCCGACCACCTCAAACGGCCCGCGTATAAGGATGCGACCACCAAAAAATCCGCAACTGGATTTCATATTTTACGTAGGTATGTCGCGCGCCACGCTGCCACCTCGTGCCTATAAATTACGACTTCTCTCACTTGTATAAAGCGGTGAGTGAGAATTTCAACGCAAAATCTGGTGAACTGAATCACGAGCCTCTTTAGAGCTTTCTTATTTTTTCCTTGCGCTCTTTTTCGATCGCCGATGAGCGACGATCGAATCTGCACCGAGACAAAAATCACGGTTGTCGTCGAAAGTGACTTTATTGATTACTGTATAAATCACTGCGTATTAGCATCAAAACATTTCGAAACTATGAATTGTTCATTCTTATTATTATTTTTTCCGCCAGATGATCGCTACGATTTCATCGTTCGAATGCGATCGAAAAAACTCGTGCAAAATGGAAAAAAAATCATAAAATTAGAAAAATATGATTGATTTTGTGTTAGCGTAACATCTTATGGTTACTTTTTTTTAGGAATCGATAAAATCTAAAAGGACATTGCGTTACGTCTTTGTACCACAGTTTTTTCTTACTTTTAAAACATACCATGGTATTAGCTATGCATGTTTTTGTGATGTTTGTTGGAAGATATGTGATGGTTCAATATTGTTTTATCATAACCCCAAAATTTCATCATGACCAAAAGTTTTGAAGGCTACTTTAATAACCGTGCATTCCCCGCATAAATTTTATATTGTTCAATTACTTGTAAACCTGCGTAACTTTGGTTTAAAAGTCATACTATTTTTAAAATTGAACCATTTATACTCCTACCAGTATTTGCAATCAAAAAGTTTACAGGTACCGTCCAATCAAGGAAATAGAGGGTTTTCGTGAGACCAAACTCAAAAGCCATTAGACCCTATGAGGTGGTTTTCAATTAAAAATTTAAGCTAAATTGATTTTGTTCAGTGGCGTGGCGTGCTTTGCGATTTTTCGATAGATCTGCCATTTAAACCTATGAAAAAGGATCGATAAACAGAGTATTCGCAACAAACGCCTTAATAATCGATTCTTTACCATAGCTGCAAAAGGAGCAATATCGATAATCGATATTATTCTCTATCGGGCCGGTTGATATAGGACTTTTTGAGTAAATTTATCGGGCCTTGTTAGCAATTTTAATAGAAAAAAATATGGCAGTATACTTAAACCATTTTTGAAAAAATTCAAGATTAAAACGTGAAATTTTGGCAGGGTTCCAAAGTCGGAGGAGGAGGAGTCTCCTTGGACCCGCCTCCAGATCAGAAATATTGTGAAAGGTTAAAAAAGAATCAGAGAGATTTATTTTGTAAAACTTCATCCCCCCCCCATCTGACAATAAGAAATATCACACTTGTATCGAAAGCCATCCGATTGGATTTGTTTCTTTCAAAATAATAAGTAAAAAATTCCTAATGATGTAAATCAACATCTCTACTCTCTCTAAATTTTTCATCATTATAACTGCGGGTTACGATGAACGGAAGGAGTCTTCGAAGTATGAGAACTAAGGGGTGTATGATCTCCTGGTTCCAATCAAATCGAATGAACATGAATCGTGTTTTATCATTCAGATCTCGTTTACCTCTTCACCTAGCTTCCTCACTTTCTCACTGCGCCACGCATGGGGCATGGTCGAGGTGTCATAAAAAACTTTTTTGAATCATCGTTGCTTAGAAAACCGGATCAAATGCCTCGATGGATTATGACATGGAATGTGTACGTGAACATTCCTTCGCTGCGCCTAAGCGTGTAAGTGGAATTTAATTGTGTCAACACAGAGTGATTAACTTTTGATCAGCTTATCGGAATGAAGCGCATCTTTTTAGTATTTGGGCTTTCTTTAAAGTTCTAATGGAGGGAAGGAGAAAGTGAGGAATGTTCTATTATCTCTATTTCATAATCATTCACGTAACGTATCAAATATCAGTATGTGACAACTTGTAATATGCAGATTCGATTTTTGAATCAGTCGAATCAAAGCAGAAATGAAATTCCATACAGAACAACAACTACAATTTATTGTTTCTGATAATGGACGATTCTGAAATTCTTCAGTGGTGATTTTTTCTAAATAAAAAGCGTTTTGAATGATAAGTTTTCAAAATACTTAAGCCAGTGGCAGGCTGACCATTGCAAGTTTAAGTATGATACAAAAATTTGTGTTTTCCCCGTTATATAAACAGAGACCATCTACACCAAAAATAATCTTATGGAACTAAGCGAGCCCAATGGGTGCACACGGGCGGCATTGAACACTAAAAAAATATATGGTTTCAGCGATAGTGATGTGAGTATGGTTATCACCAACAGACTCCATCGTAGCAAATACTATAACTCTAATCGCCCTCACCAAAAACATGGTAAATGATATCAGATGCCTGGTTATTTTTACCCTACAGTATTACTGTGTTGAAAATCAAGAAGATTCATGATCGTATTTCCATACCTCTAGTAAAATTGGCCATACTTTTTTTTGTGAATAAAGGTGTCTCACGTATCGTTAAAATGAAATTTTTGAGAGATATATTTTGCAGTTGGTTGGAAAAGCTGAAGTTTAAAAAATCGTTTTTTTCTCTCTTTTTTTTATCCCTCCCCTCTTCATTTCTCTCCTTTTTTAAGTGATTAAGGGAAGACATAGAAATGTTATGGTCAGTTTTTCAATGCTTTACGGACGTCCTGATATGCATCTGTCCATCATTTGGTTTCAGACTTTTAAAGGCACCAATTTATTACATAATATCTAGGATAATGTGTCTATAAATGCCGGTATTACACGAGCTGATGCTGCATTTATTAAACACACAAGACTTGACGTGAAGAATTTTGAAAATATAAAAGACTGTAATTTGTCCGAAAGTCTAAACTCCTTTTTCTTTTACTGTAGAGGTCCATGCGGGCGCACTCGAGGGGGGGGGGGGGGGGCNCCCCCCCCCCCCCCGTCGAGTACGCCCGCAAAGAAAAGAAAATAGTATCATCTGACCTCAGAAATTCTGGATGGAAAAACAAACAGAAAATCTGTTGAATTAATCGATTTGAAGGTATTTTGGGCTTAAAACAGCGTAATTTATATGCAGAAACGAATGGAAAATTTGCGTTACAAAAGCCCCAAAATGCATGCATATAGAGATAAATTTTAAAAATGTCTTCGGACAGCCCCCCTTCCCACATTGCGTAGCAATGCCTACGAAAGGGTCCGATTTTCCCCCTTTTTCATTTATAGTCGATAAAAGCAAGACGGAAATAAAAAAAAAAAAAATCATCGCACAAACCTTGATCGAATTTGGTCAACACTCCTTTGATTCCTTTAGGATGGCAAAAACAGGTACACACACAAGGTTCACAAATTATTCTTTAATTTTTTTTTTCCGATAAAAAAATAAAAAAAGAGCGAGAAACGAGAGGGCGGAGCGAATGTACACGAACACAGTGAATCCAGAAATTACATCGTCGGAAAAGTGAAAAAGGCCGAGGGACCCGGTTGCGCCACGGAGGGCGTCGCGGCGAAGAAAGTGGTTGCGCGACTCCTGACAAAATCGAACTGAACCGCGAGGACCGCTGCTCGTGACTCCCGGTCACGTAATGGTCTATAGAAAGAGAAGGTAAGTGAACTTAGTGAAGATGATTTCTGTCTGATCATGGTCATGTGGCCGGGGCGCCGGGTTGCGGCAGGGGTGGAGGGACCGAATTCCTCCCAGAAGCTCGGCCCCCTCCCGCGCCGCCCCATGCGGCGTCGCGACGCCCGATCCTCGTCGCGACGCCCGATCCCCGATGCGAGCCGACCCGGCCCGAAGTGGGTTCGTGGTCCTGGCCCTCGCCGTGGACACAGCAGCGCCGCGCCGTCGCCGCAAGCCGTCGCACAATGGGAAAAATCAGTTCTAAGGTCGAACTTGAATTTATATTGCTAAAACTGCATCATTGAAAAAAAAAATTATGGCAAATTTTACCAGCGGGCTGATTGTTGAACTTGATAGGCAAAGCTAGAGACAAAGAAGTCGAAAAGGATATGGAGTAATCCTATTGGTGGAAGCGATAGATTCGTGGCAATCATAAATCCATTAATTTTCGACGGAGACTTTAACGCAAAAGTAGGAAAATAAGCGCATGCATCACAGAAACGGAAACGCGTATCATACTCCAATAAATGAGATCATAAGAGTAACGCAATATGGATAACGTCTGAAACGCGTTGCGCTTCAGAGGGTTGGACCGCGAAACGGTCAGGGGACGTCGCCCCCTAGCTCATAAGAAAATATTATTGATTTCATACCTACCCGTCTGATGAAGAATTTTGCAAAATTGTAGGTTTTTTGTGTGTCATTCAAATGTACGTTACCGTGGGGACTCGAAGGAAAGCAAATGTTACAGTAATTACTATACAGGGTGTCCTATACCACCCGTGCCAGCGGGCTGATTGTTGAAATTAATAGGCAAAGCTATAGACAAAGATGACAAAAGGGATATGGAGGAATTCTATTGGTGGTTGCGATGGACAAAGGCTGTGGGTAATAGACTAACCAACGGCAACTCACGAGAGACTCTATGGTTAGTCCATAATTTTCTCCCTTTGTCAATTGGAACCGATCATTTCAACCGATAGGATCGCTCCATACCCCCTATGCCTTCTTTGTCTATCGCTTTGTCTATCAATGTCAACAATCAGCCCACAGAAGTATCGTAAATTTTGTATTTGTTGTACGGACATGGATGACAAACGTTAAATGACGTAGTGTGATTGGTCAGCTAAGCCTTATCGCTGCTTTGTCGTGCGTATGTCAGGTGGAACTGACAGCAAGCTATACCGCCATGCTAAGGAAAAACGCCGTATGAACTCTTTGGCGTTGCCGAATTTCCTTTGATAAAACACGAATTTCCTGGTACACTTATGAATATTTTCCTTCCAATTTTTCAGATGATTTTGTTCGCAATTTCACCTGAAGCGCCTGAAAATTTCATGAAAAAATAATCATAAAGTTCCGCAAAAATAAACATTTTGTGGAAGGAAATTTGGCAACTCTCGAATGTTCATGCGCCGTTCTTCCTTAGCCGGCAGTATAGGTACCTCTCGAGTTTCCGACAACATGTCGTCTATTCTACGAGACGTAGGCACGAAAAATCAGGGATGAAGCATAGCCGACCTATCACGCTACGCCATTTAACCTATGTCATCTATATCAGCCCGACAAACACAAAATTTCAATATCGGCCTGAAGGTAGCCTTAAGACCTCAAAGTTTTGTAATAAAGGTGTTAGAAGCTTTAAAAGTTTTCAAATTTTGTCCAACCTCTCCCATGGACTGGTTCCACTGTGCGCATCCGCGACGCGATGCCAACCGCCGAAGAAAGTGTTAGATCCAACTTGCGCTGTGATCCCGCGTCGCGCAGTGGGTCGCCATACCACAAAAGCTGCCCTCAAGGACGTTACGAATGGTCAAGGTGATTCCCAAGGCCGTGCCATGTTTTCACGCATACGTCATCATATTTCAAACAACGAGAATCGGCAATTCGTCCTCAAACAACGAGTTAGAAATTTTAAGCCATTTTTCACCAGAAAGAATGGTTCGAAACCTTCTTTTCTTATTTTTTTCTCTTTTTTTCTTCTTTATATGTTTTTTTATCGGAAGGACTTTATTTCGGCCAAAACAATTTTTTGTTCGGTGCGAGAAAAAAGGACCACTGAGAAACAATTTTTTTCTTTTTAATGTTAAGGAAGGTCTTTATTAACCCAAAGAAACTTAAAAATTTGTCATCAATGGCAAAATTGTATCTCTTAAAATTAAGACGGATTAATATTTGCATCAATAGAAAAATCTTTTAGTCAGAAAAAAATTCATTTCAATAAAATCACTTTTTTTAAATTACAAAATAATTTTTCGGACAACAATCCTAGGAGAGCACGAGATTCCACGTCTTCCGTCAGATACTCAGATATATTTCTTCTTATCCTCGTATATGTAAACGATAGAAAAGTCGAAACTATATCTTCGGAATCAAAGAATTGATTCTCATTCATGTTATCTGTAGTGAACAAGGTAACAATTTCACATTGAAATACGTTTCATTTTAACAAACGTCGGTGGAAAATGAGAGAAGATAGCCATTTCACGGCGTAGTACATCACCTCCATCATTTTCCTGCCATCGAGGCGCGTTTGACATTTCTTGGAGTCTTTGGACTTTTTAAAAACTGTCTTGTCCGGGATTTTGACTCCGAACATATGCAATAAATCACCGCGAGCAATTGATTCACGTGACACTATCAGAATATTACATTAAGAAAAAAGTTATGAGCTATTTGGATGTCGCAGGCAATTAGCAATCGCACGCAATTTGCAAGCTAGTGGTAAGTAAATGTAGAAAATAATAAAATTCAAAAACAAAAGAATAAGATTAGAGTGCTAATTATGTTGTCTACTATGTGAATAAACACTTTTCCCACCGTAAAAACATAGTAGAAATGGCCACTCTTAGAAGAGCGTGCAGTGAACTCAGTGACATTAGTTGGGTTGCGATCGGATAGGCAACTAAACTAACTTAGTGACAAAGCGTAGAGTATCACAAAAAATGAAGGCGCTCCAAGGCGAGCAACCATGAAGACCATAATCCTCAAAAATTTTATTATGTCGATGCGCATCATTGCGAGTTATTGAAACAAGATGTGAACTGCTTGCAAAGTGCCGGCGATTGCTTATTGCCTGCGACATGGACATACCGTCTGTTCCGAGCTGAGAGACCGAAAGTTCCGGGTGCTAGAGCCGTGGCTTCGACTGATACGCGTGCTATACGCCCGGAACGTCCCACCTCTGAGCCCGGAACGCGGACGGTATGTCTACATAGCCCGTAAATAGGGCCTCCACGACCGGATTTTTTTTTCAGTGGAATATTAAATAAACAACACAAGGTTTAGTGACCCATTTTGGCCCGTTTTAGCGGGCGCGACCCCGGTTTTTCTCTACTGTGCGTCCGAAGAGCAATTTACGCTGGGGTGGGAGGAACGCGGATGACCCGGCGACCTCTCCTGACAGTTGCATGATGTGGGAAAAAGGAGGGGGCTAATTTTCTTCCGTTTCTCCGTGGCGTCAACAAGGAAAATTAAAGGGTACACTCGACGGTGAGAAATACATCAAACGTCGATCGAGCAAGATGGGCGTACGATTCTTGTGGTCTCTATCTTTTTCCCCATCTTCATATCTTACACAGATCGTGTTCGATACATCAAACAGGTGAGATCGTATCGATATCGATTGGTTCAACATATAAACATAGCCTCAAAAGTAAGTATAGCAATCGGAGGAAGCGGGTTTTTTGTGATCGATTTTTTTATTCTTATGGGTATCAAATGGCAATGAAAAGTGTCATTGTTAGGAATTTTCTCTTTTTTAGCTTTTCCATTATTTTGATATCCTTAAATTTTTGTTAGAGGCTACGTTCTATTGTTTTGAACCAAAAGATACATCGAACCACTATCGAATACGGTCTATTCTGTGCTCTGTGGTGTAATCAGGGATTACTTCAAAATTACTTAAAATGCAAACATTAAAGTTTTAACGCTGTAATTGGGCGTTTTAAAGCAGTTTTATAAAATGTACTGAAACTTGGAGAAAAGTGCGGCAATTTTGTGATTTTTTTTTTTTAATTTTGTGATTGACTTTTTATTCTTATGAGTAAAATATGGCAATGAAAAGTGAAATTGTTAGGAATTTTCTCATTTTCAGTTTTTCCAACTTATATCCTAAAAGTTTTGTTTGAGATAATGTTCTATTCTTCTGAACCAAACGATACATCGAACCACTGTAGAATACGATCTTTTGTGGTTTAGGTCGAGAGACCATCTTATTACTGTCAGCACGTTCGTGACACTCATCACCGAAACACCGATTTGAAGTGGATATTTTGGAATCTAATCCTGGAACTATTTACTCTTGTTTCAGCACAATCAGACGGCCGCCATCACCTGACTTTTTTCTAACGCGCGTTAGAGTGGTATTCAATTTTAAAATTAAAATATCACTTCAATAGATAATTCTATGCTTGTACTGGGGGGGGGGGACTGCACGCACACTACTAAGACCCTCCAATGGGAACCTAATGGCTGAAAAACCAGATTTTACCAATCAACAATTAAATAACAACAGCAGCTGGAAGAAACTCGTAGCAATGTTTTATAAACTTCTTTACTGTGCCCGATATTGCCGATGACAAAAGCAGGAAAATCTCTGAGAAGGAATAACGAACGTAGGAATAACAATTGACGAAGTGTTTCAAATGGACCAAGCAGAAAGGAACCAAACCACACCAGTCACTGCAAACTTTATTTGGGCGCTTTAATTTTTTACATGAAAACGTTTGTGCGGATTTGTGCTCAAATTTCAGTGAATTTTCTGCATACTACGAAGCAAATTCCTTTAAATTTTCAAAGGAATCCGCACACACGTTCTCTTGTAAAAACTTTAATTTCCGAGTTGAATTTGCCAATAGCTGGTATGACTTGGCTCCTTTCTGCTAAATTCGGTCCACATATCATGCTCAACAACATAACCATTAACTATGCTCCTCTTGGCAAAGGGGGGGGGGATAGGCGATAGGAGCAGAGACAAGAGACCCTCCACTAGCTTC